AATCTTTTGTTGTTCAGAAAAATATTAGCAAACAAAAAAAAAAAAATAGAAAATATCTGCAAAGCTTTTCACTATATGAAAATTATTACAATCATATAGAATTTTACTCACTAACCCAATCTTTAAGTATTACAAAGAAAAAATAAACTCGAGTTTTACTACATCTACTTTTCTATCCAATATACGAAAAATCTCAAGATGATAGGCTCACAATATTTTTTTCTTAGATCAACTCTCTAGCCACACCCAGAATAATGAAACGTCCACTATTTATAGAATCAATAACTAAGTAGAAGAGTTTAATTTAAACTCAAATAAAACTCCTTTAACTCAACAAAGATTCTTTCATGTGCAAGACTTCAAAATCGTTTGTAAATTGGAGACCAAATTCTGCAAGGATTTCGCTCTCAACTTTAATTAGAAGTATTCCATACAATAACTATCTTTTGTTATTTGTAATAGAAGTTCTCCAACTTTTGACTTTTGAGGCAATTACCTAACATGACTTGTTTTAGTGATTTCCCCATTTCGATTTTTAAATAAAAATAAAAAATTTAAATGTCCATTAATTATTAAGCAATAAAAGTTCAATGAAGACATATTTTATCAACCACTACTAACCCTTTTTATAGGTGCTTCCTCAACCTCTTTTTTTGTTAAGTCGTGGAACCTAATTATTACTGATCCTAATTATTGTCACTTCCCATAGTTGGTCGCGAATCGATCTCTACGGTGAGGTCATGGGGGGGGGGGGGGGGTTGAAAGGGGAGTAGTAGGCCTCCTTTCCTTGGGCACGGACCAAAATTTAATCAAATGATTGTTTAGGAATTTGTATTTTGGCAAAATTCTATTAATGAATTGAAGTTCGTGTATAACTCGATTTTATTCTAATTTCTTTTATAAATAGGGAGTCATCCTTAAACTTTATTATTATTATCAAAAATAAAGAAAGAGAATATAGAAGAGCAATTTTCTCTTGTAAACATTGTTTCATTATAGGGAATTACTGTAATGGTGAGAGAGGATGTAATCTCACATTGATACAAACCTTTATAAGTCTTACATATTCTTAAGTGTTTATTTTTATTTCTTCAAATTGATTGCTCTAAGTGGAACAAAATTAAGGTTCTTAATTCTCAACATTTTTTACGCTGTTTCAAAGTGAAATTGGTATTAGTATTAGTATTTTAGTCCTTTGTGAATGCTCCCGCAGCTAATAGCAACATATGATGTGTATAAGCAATTTTTCGTTGATGAAAGTGTGTTGAAACTTTTTTTTTAAAAATAAACTTATGTCATATATTGAAGTCTGTAAGTGAATGATGAACTGAGCCAACAATATTAGAAATGAAACTTTCGTTGGTGGAAGGCCGAATGATCTATTGCTAAGTTTTCGTTGGTGAAACAACGATTTTTTGAAATGATATTATAAGGCGTTTGACATGCCCAGTGCAACCTAGAACAAAATTGTCATCAAATCCGATATGGTATTTAAGAAATCTTCAAGAGACTCTCTAAATATAAGATGGTCTCTATTTTTAATGCTTAAAAATAAGTTCTAAGAGACTCTATTTTAATTTTTAAAATAGAGGATAGTCAAACTCACATTTTATTCTTGTTTTATAATGAATACATATAGTAAGCTACACATTTTAATACTACTAGTTAAAGTTAAACGTATATTGCACGTTATTCTAAAATACTTTATAAGTAATGTAAAAGTAATATTTTGTACCAATTTGTTGGAGGATTTGATGAGTCTCGAACGAATTAAAGAAAATAAAATTTAGCATAGAAATTTAAGAGAAGAAAATTATACTCTCCAAACTTAATTTCTCTGATTCAATTTTTTTGTAATGATAAAATACTATAAATGAGCAATCTCTTTATAATATTAGTAATGAACTCCTAAGTAACGGTGTCTAGCTTATATTAAGTACCGGTGACATAGTACACCATTTAATTGGTGAATCATTAAATTTATGGAACCCATTATGAACTTATTCTGCGATTAAATGATGTATCATGTCATCGATACTTGGGAGATCATTTTCGTTGCATTTGATACATAAAAATTAATTGTTAATACATAAATTTAAATACTCATTAAATTTTTTAGATATATGAAAATGAATAAATTTATATATAATAACTCTAGATTCATGTAATTCAATATTCATCAAGTGAACATTCCTTGAATCTAGGTTAATGTGAATGTTAAATAATTGAGAATTAATAACACAAATTTCATAAATGACAATAATTATTCAGTATTTATTACATATCAAAAAACGAAAAGTAAGGTGTTATTGAAATAGTTGAATTGTAAATGTTAAAATCGTTCAAAAAATGATTCTCCTTTGATGTGATATTTTAATATATTAGTTAAAATTGAACACGCATTGTACGTTATTCTGAAAAACTTTATAAGTGATGTAAAAGTAATATTTGATACCAATTTGAGTGTCAAACGAATTAAAGAAAATAAAATTTAGCATAAAAATTTAATAGAATAAAATTGTAATCAAATTGTACTATCAAAACTCAATTTCTATGATTCAATTTTTTTGTAAAGATGAAATACTATAAATGAGCAATCTTTTTATATTACATTTGATATATAAAAATTAATTGTTAATACTTAAATTTAAACATCCATTAAAATTTTTAGAAATAACTTTAGATTCATATAATTCAAGATTTATCAAGTGAAAATTCATTGAAGTTAGGTTAATGTAAATGTCAATTAATTGAAAATCAATAACACAAATTTCATAAATGACATTAATTATGTAATATTTATTACATATCGAAAAATGAAAAGTCAGGTAATTAATAACACAAATGACAATAATTATATAGTATTTATTATATATCGAAAAACGAAGACTAATGTATTATTGAAATAATTGAATTGTAGTGGGGTTAAAATCGTCAAAAAAATGATTCTCCCTTGAAGTGATATTTTAATAAACATTATAGATTATAGATATTATTTAAATTATTCAAATCATATTTGAATTGATTGTCTGTTGAGATAAGAAAAATATAAATAAAAGATGATGACAAAACAATAATGTTTCATGAAAAATGGAAAATGAAGAACCAAAATAGAGGTAATTGTTGGAATATATGAAAAATTTTACTCTTTAAATTTAAATATAATTGTCATTATGCGTAAGATGCTCTTTATAAATAGAAAATGAAAACTCTGCAAGTACAAGACGAAAACTATCTTCTAGTGATTTGCTGTATTTTGGTAACAACCAATTATAGGAAGACAGTCTTCTTGTACAAAATTTGGAGAAAAAAAATTGTATTTATAGCATTGTTCAATAGAAAATCTCTTAAAAATGCTCTTAATAATATTTATCTATTAGCCAAATAATATAGTTTCAAACAAGAAAACTAGATTAGGAGTTTCGTTGCATATAACCTGATGCAAGCCCAGTCTCTTGCAAGTATTCCCCAACCTTTGCACCTTCACCTAAGCGGCTCATTGTTCTTCAAAGCAAAACTCACTGTTTTATACCCTTGTCATAATTTCCCCACATTTGATCGTAAGTTCTCCCTATTTAGAATTTCCACCATCTTAGACTCTTAGTTGTTCATTTTTCTTCATTGTATCCTCCGAGGTCCCCCGGACCCCTCTCATACCCATTGGCAATGACACGATGTATTTAATCCCTATTTACTTCTTTGGTCTTTTTGGGAAAACGAGTTATTGATGATTATATTGCAAACAATGATGTTGATTAGGGTATTATCATCACTTTGTCCAAAAAGCTACAGTGCGTGGCACCAACATAATCCACCCATATCAACCAAAATTAAACCCAGAAATCCTCTCCAAACTTAGTGCGTCCCCGTTTCAAGCATGCTCGTACATTATCCATCCACTCCAAGAAAATGTTCTAGTATCGACTCGAACAAAAGACCTCCAACTTTGCTACCAACTAAAGTAGAGTATTATCGTCACTTTGATCTAAATTATATTGCTGGAAACAATGGAGTTTGGAGAAGCGACAAAAGAAAGAATGCAAATTACAACAACAAGATAATTTGAAACCAGAAAACTTGACACGAACGAATTCGAAGACTTGAATACGATATCGTTTTCCTTAAACGATATTTGTCCTCTCTCCAAATGTAGTGAGATACATAAGGGTATTTTGGCAAACAGTTTGAAAGATTATAACAAGTCTTGATGCAGAAAAAACCAAAACACAAAGAATTTTCTATTAAAACTTGAAGAACACGATGAAGATATATGAATATGAATGAAAACCGAGATTTGATTATTTGTGGAACAATGTATAGATAACAAGATGTTTTTCTATATCAATGCCTTGAACATCGATCTTCTATATATAGGCCATGACTAGGGGTGTGAAATGGTGCCCAAAAACAAGTGAAAAGCCACAAATTTCAAATTTGCAACGTCCCAAAACGGCCTCCAACGGTCGAACAACGCAATAGCATGGCTTCTCTTGCAGCCATCTTCCCATTTTCCATTCCATATACGGCATTTGTTGGTTCTGAACAACCCTTTCTCAACAGTTATAACTCATGATACTAATGCAATCCACTATATGTCATTCACCCACGAATCTAGACAAACCCATTCGATTGGGGTCTATCTCATTTCTAGCATATACTTGCATTACATTCTATGTAGCATTGTGGGTGTTTAGCACAAGTCTAAATCTTAGGAGCACTGCGACCTAAACTTGTACTTAACACAAATTTACATAGCATTACTTTTATTGCAACGCACCTAACACTATGTAACAAATTTGACTTGTATTGTCCTTGAAGTAACAAAAAATATGTAGAATTGAATATAGACCACTCACTAGCCGGAAGAATTAAGTACTAGGTAGTCTCTTTAAATATCAGGTTTGCCGATTCCATTAATTGTATTGATGTAAAAGACGAAGAAATGGATATGTGATTAAACTATAGCAAAAAATCTCATGCACGCTCTGGAATTGTATCGCTTTTCTTGTTTTAACTTTTTCGGAGACATCGAAGCCCACTGCCACTCAGTCAAAAGCTTTTGCTCTCCTTTCATTTTCACACCCCGTGATTTTTAGTTTCTCATTCTATAAAATCTTCACTCGTGTAAAGCGTTTCGTAGACATCGAACCACATCTTTATCTCTATCTCTGACTTATGTGAAGCGTTTCTATATTCTCCATTTTACCCACTTCTTTCTTACTCAAAAGTTCTTCATTTTCTGCAAAAAATGGTAGGTATGGAACGAATTTTTGTGTTACAGATAATTTATTTTGCATTGTTGGGACTAGTGGTTTTTGCATGGGCAGAAGATGGGTTAATAAATCCATCCCAGCTGGAAATATTTGTTGATGAACTCCCAGACATGCCTAGAATCAAGGGCTTCCATACTGTAAATGGTTTTCCAGTTCCCAAGTCTCTCCAGATTGGCATGTTTCACAAGAAATGGGTATGAATTCTAAATTCAATTTCTATAAAATTTTATTGTCAATTCTAAAGAAAATTTCATGGCGTATTTTTTTTTTCCTTTTTTATTGATTAAAATAATGGTGAGTGCCCTTTTATTGCCACTTTCATTTTACAGACTACTGAGTTCATGTAATTGAAGTCTCTATCTGTCTAATTGATTATTTTCTTTCTTATGGCTAAGAATTCAATATTTATCCACCAATTACTGATTTCTTTGTGCTAAATTTTTTTGGGATTGATTCACGACTTCTTAAATCCAACTCATGTACCACTTGGATGGACTAACAACCGAAATCTTGGGACCTTCTTCAAACAGTGGATTTGATGGGTTCACATCGAGGCTCTATGAATTTAGTCAAGAAACTTTTTTTATTTTTTCGTGTGAGGATAATGAAGTGGCATAAAAGGGAACGTCACTTTGCAGCTCATCTGCTGTTCTCTAACTGTAGAAAACTTGTGTATCATTAGTAATTTTCAGTTAAAGCTGCTTTTACATAGTTCCAGCAAAGCAGATGAGGCCCAAGGACACCTAAATCATGTTTGGTTAATCTTAAAAAAAAAAAAAAAAAAAAAGTTACCTTTTAATTAACATTTTACTTCCAAATATATTTGGAAGAGTTCCTGGTTTTCCAAAAAAAAAAAAAAAAAGTTACCTTTTAATTAACATTTTACTTCCAAATATATTTGGAAGAGTTCCTGGTTTTCCAAAAAAAAAAAAAAAAAGTTACCTTTTAATTAACATTTTACTTCCAAATATATTTGGAAGAGTTCCTGGTTTTCCAAAAAAAAAAAAAAAAAGTTACCTTTTAATTAACATTTTACTTCCAAATATATTTGGAAGAGTTCCTGGTTTTCCAAAAAAAAAAAAAAAAAGTTACCTTTTAATTAACATTTTACTTCCAAATATATTTGGAAGAGTTCCTGGTTTTCCAAAAAAAAAAAAAAAAAAAAAGTTACCTTTTAATTAACATTTTACTTCCAAATATATTTGGAAGAGTTCCTGGTTTTCCAAAAAAAAAAAAAAAAGAGCTCGATTTTGGAAGTAACTTTTGTCTTAGTCTTACTTTTAATTTGATTAATAAAATATTCTTGTATTAAAACTTAATATTTAGGGGCAAGTTAACTTTAAATAAAATTTTCATGAAGGCATAAAGGTTCCTCTGAAGTCTAAACAAGAAGGTGCAAGGATTAAGAATATGTGAACTGAAATCCTTGCAGGATTCTCTCTTTTGCTTTAGTTCTTGAGGCTTCCACACTGACTTTAAGACTTTTATATTTGTACATTTCCTATAATAATGACTATATGTGCGTTACACTTAGACTTTAAGACTTGCAGGATTCTGTCTTTTGCTTTAGTTCTCGAGTCTTTCACACTGATTTTAAGACTTCTATGTTTGTACATTTCCTACAATACTGACTGTATATGCATCGAAAACATCGTTTTGGTTGTCCCTGAAAACGACCCTTCGTTATTTAACCAGTTTTAAGCATATATCTAGTCAAATTCTCTCACGCTGTACACCTTCTTCGCTGCATGAGACACACGATAGAAGTATTTTGGTACGACTAAGAAACCCCAAAGAAGAAATGTTTATGAGCCTTACCATCTCTCACGACCTATTAGTTTGGGCGCTTTGGGGACATCGGATAAAATTGGGACGAAAGTGTTTGGTTTCATTGTTAGTTCACAGAATCCCCCCATTTTTAGCAGTTAGCTTTCTGTATCTTCATAGACATATTAGTGCATTATGTTCAATGAGGATATGAAAATAAAGGAGGTCATATTGGTAATTAAGATATGCGATATTAAAGTCTAATCTCTTAATCTTGATGTCCTACATTGGATTCTACTAATAGACAGAAGAAAATGTTGTCTTAATTCCAGATAATGTCCAGTATCACTTTCTACATAATTATCTCTACTTTGGAATACATGTCAGCATCACTAGTTTATAGGTGGTTTGATGACTTGTTCAAAAATTCAATTCAAACATTCAAATGGACACCATCCTTAATTGTCTTACATCACATGTATTTTATTGAAATTCAGATCACATTTATTTGAAATCATTAGTTAATTGACTAATGTAGCTCTGTCTCAAACAATTCTAAAATTTTTGAAGTATTTATTATGCAAACATAGCAGATGGAAGGAATTTTTATCGCTAGATAGAGTTCACGACATTTTAGGCAATAGAAAATACGAGAAGAACATGAACGGCTAACATTGGCATTTGTAAGGTCGAAATTGATGACTATTTTGATTAATTTTCTTGAAATAAGTCTGAGATTTCTTTCTTTTTCCTTTGCAGAAATTTCACAGAGATCTTCCTCCAACTACAGTGTTTGCATTTGGTTTATCAAAGGATACTGCAACAATTCCTGGTCCTACAATTGAAGCTCTTCATGGAATCGAGACTTATATAACATGGAGAAATTATCTCCCCTCAAAGCATATATTGCCCTGGGATCCAACTATTCCAACTGCCATACCGTCCACCAAAAAGGGCATTCCTACAGTGGTGCACCTCCACGGAGGCATTGATGAACCGGAGAGCGATGGACTCTCAACCTCGTGGTTCACCGCCAAATTCAAAGAGCGGGGACCCACTTGGACGAAGAAAAAGTATCACTACCACAATTTTCAGCATCCAGGGACCCTGTGGTACCATGATCATGCTATGGGGCTGACTAGAGTCAACCTTTTGGCTGGCTTGTTGGGGGCCTACATCATCCGGGATCCCAATGTCGAGGCGCCACTTAGATTGCCGTGTGATGAAGAATTTGATCGTCCATTGGTCGTATTTGATCGGAGCTTCCGCACTGATGGTTCGATTTACATGAATCCCACAGGAAATAATCCTTCAATACATCCACAGTGGCAGCCAGAGTATTTTGGTGATGCAATCATAGTCAATGGGAAGGCGTGGCCCCACATGATCGTGCGACGGAGAAAATACAGGTTCCGAATAATTAATGCTAGCAATGCAAGGTTTTTCAAATTCTATTTTGCCAGTGGTTTGGGATTTATCCACCTGGCGTCTGACTCAGCCTACAACGAAAAACCAGTAATGGTCAACGACATCCTTTTGGCTCCATCGGAAATTGCTGATGTGGTCATTGACTTCTCGAAGTCAAAGTCTGATTCAGATATTTTGTCTAATAATGCATCATATCCTTATCCTTCTGGAGATCCTGTCAATGAAGCCAATAGCAAAGTCATGAAATTCATCATAAAACCCCACCATGAGTTGGACACATCAAGAATTCCAAGTAAATTGATCAATTATCCATCCCCAAATTTATCTAGCGCGTCACTCACACGATACATTGCCATGTATGAGTACACGAGCAAGATCGATGAACCTACACATTTGTACATCAATGGAAAATCATATGAAGCACCAGTGACAGAGACACCAAAAGTAGGGGCCACAGAGATTTGGAATGTGATCAATCTAACGGAAGATAATCACCCGTTGCATATTCATCTCGGACTTTTTGTGGCCTTGGATCAAACAGAACTGGTGAACATTGATGAATTTAAAGAATGCATGTCGAAGAACAACGATGCTATCAAGTGCCACGTTGGCAAGTATGCACGTGGAAAGAAGATAGAGGCACCGACCCACGAGAAGGGATGGAAAAATGTTTACAAGATGACGCCTGGATATGTTACAAGAATACTAGTAAGGTTTTCTTATATTCATTCGAATGAATCATATCGGTTTGATGCAACTGCAGAGCCTGGCTACGTATATCATTGCCATGTGAGTAATTTTCCTGACACTATGAATGCCCTTTTACATTATTTTCGCTCTATTATGGCAGCATCTTGATTTTTATTTATTTTTCATTATTAAAGGAGATATTTTGATCCAACTACTGTTATTAGTTATATCCGGACGAACATTCATAATTTATTTTGCCATATGCAGATCTTAGATCACGAGGACAATGTGATGATGAGGCCATTGAAATTCATCAAGTAGAGGTAAAGAATTTCTCCAGATATATCAAGCGTGCCTTTTGTAAGAATTGTCTCCAATTATCCTCTCATATGTGTGGAAAAAATGAGAATGTACCTTTGATGAATTCATATTCTTTGATTCTTGTAACTCCAATGTTTTAACTGTACCTTTCTGCAGGTTTGATGCCACCGTTGAAGAACAAGAATGTAATACATGGACGACACCTTTAAATAAGATCGAGCAAGAATGTGGCAAAATTCTGCTAAATTTATAATGCACTGTAATCAAAATGAGATGTATGGAGATGATCAAATGTAAAGTTAGAGAAATGAAAGGAAATATTTGTTTTTAAGGGTGAAAAATGAAGAATTGTTGCCTGGGGACTACATTGAAAAACTCCAAAAGTTGATTTGTACCGAGAATTGATGATTGAAGATTATGTGGATCAATCATATGTTCCAAGCTAAACAAAGGAAAAAATTCTGGAGGCCAAAATGAAGATGAGAAAGTTGAGGCATGCGATCACATGCCTATAGGCGTTGAAATTGCAACACCTGTTGAGAAAATTCCAGTGATGAAATCATCTATGCCATGCGATTGCAGTCGAATAAAGTTGTGCAATCGGCATGGCAATAATTCGACTAAACAAAATTGTTTTCTTTTTCTTTTCTAACTCTTTATGATAAGGAATTTAAGCTCGTAGGAACAATTTTGAAAAATCAAGCTTGAGAGATAACAAGATGCTAAAACCAAGAAGTTTATCATTCTAATTTGAAAATTGAAATTAAAATATTCAATTATTGAATCTTGGCAAAGGAGAAAGAGGCCCAACAAAAAAATTGTTCAAGGAAGTTTAAAGAGATTTAAGAATTTATGGCTTTTTCTCTTCTGCTTCGTACATCTAGAATCCGATTGATGTCTCATATCTCAAACATGATTCTTGTAATTTTGTAATGTTTGACTAAACTTTTAGTTATTAGGGTGTAGATGAACCCTTTTATTATGAAGTTTTAGCATAAATTCAAGACATAGACATTTGATAGGTTAATTACTTCATTTATCACTGAACTTTATCAAAAGTTTACACCATGTCACTAAACTTTCAAAACTACGTAGTTAGTCACTGAACTTTAGAAAGTCCGATCCCATCCATCATCGAGCCAATTTCTATTGGACATCTTGACGGACTTGATGACGTGGTAGACGGAATTTGTGACATGGCATGTTTGTGTAAGAGATTTAGGTGAGTTGGACTTTGTTCAATTGAAAAATAAATTTTTAATAAGGGAAAAAACACAAAAAAAAAAAGGAGAAACTTAATACCCAACCCACAACCCACCCACTATTTCCCCCCCAAATTGAGAACTCGGTTGGAAATCAACCCTCCCAAACACCTAATCAACCCCCAAAGAGCTGCAAATCGCCACCCCAGCTAGGCCTGGGCGTGAATTGGTTTCGACTCTAACCCGAAATTAAAAATAAATTAATTGGTTTGGACTCTAACCCGAAACCAAAACTAAGTAGTCGGTTTAGACGAATTTCAATCCAAATCAACCCACTTCAGTTCTTAAACCGAATCGAACCAGTTCGATTAGTCGGTTTGGACTTTTAGTCCAAATTGAATTTTTTTAAAAAAAATTGTTCGAATTTTGGGCCACTTAAATTACAATAACTAAAATAACTAAATAATTTTACATTACAAGAATAATTAACTAATAAATAAAATAAGTTAATAGAGACGGACCAACATAAAACTTAAAAACTTTTGTTGTTTTTCTACATGTTATGTAATCTAACTGTTTGAGTAGGGAAAAAATGCTAAGTATGTTTGCAAAAGGAAATTATCGGTGCTATTACTTACGAGTAACATCATAAATTGGAGGGAATTGAAATATAATTATGAGATTATGACTTATCTTTTGATTTTGATTTTTTTAAATTAAAAAAAAAAAAGTGAACTTGTAACTGGGTAGGGTTGGTTCGATTAACCAACAGTTTGAGATTTCAAACCATAACCCAACTGACTCACCATAGTTTTGTTTAAAATAAAATCAAACCAATTACTTGTGTCAAATCGACCCGAGTCAATTAGGCTTGACTATTTGATCGGGTTTTTCAAATTTTTTTTTTTTGCCTATGCCAAACCCCAACAAGATATCATCACCCCAAACACCAAATCGCCATAACTCAGCACCTTAAGTGCGTGACCCATGCCCTTAAACCGCGTAGTGTGGAGTATGATGTAATGTGTTTGCTGCTACCGTGTTTGATATAGTGTGGTTTAGGTTGTAATGGTTGTTAAGACTTGGGGTCCATCTTAATAAGGTCAACCTTGTTAAGAGGAGTGTCCCAATTCTTTATATATTGATCATTATTTCGGTATTTTACCGATGTGAGATTATATTCCCTTAACATGCCCCCGCAAGATGGTGGCTCGTTTGAGCAGACCAATCTTGAAATCCGTGTGCTCATTTTTTAGAGACTTAATCGGATCGAATCGCTCGTTGGAGCTTAATGGGCTCTGATACCATGTTAAGATTTGGGGTCCATCTTAATAAGGTCAACCTTTTTAAGAGGAGTGTCACAATCCTTATCTATTTGGTCATTATTTCGGTATTTTACCGATGTGGGATTATATTCCCTTAACATGCCCCCGCAAGATGGTGGCTCGTTTGAGCAGACCAATCTTGAAATCCGTGTGCTCATTTTTAGAGACTTAATCGGATCGAATCGCTCGTTGGAGCTTAATGGGCTCTGATACCATGTGAAGACTTGGGGTCCATCTTAATAAGGTCAACCTTTTTAAGAGGAGTGTCACAATTCTTTATATATTGGTCATTGTTTCGGTATTTTACCGATGTGAGATTATATTCCCTTAACAATGGTTTGGGGTATAGTGCAGAAAGGTCCACTGCTGCTGCTGTGGAGTATTCTGTAATCTGTGTCCAGTGTTGTTTTGTGTAGGCGAAGATGATCTAATCCGTTCTTTTGAAGTTGCTGTAATCAGATAAGTGTTATTTAATTTGTAGTAATTTGTGTTATCTAAGTGATGCAAGCTCCAGCAAGTATTTGCACTTCAGCCAACAAAATCCAAAATGACCAATCCAGCCTATAGACATTCTGTACAATGTCTTGGAAATGGTATTCCAGCCTTTGCTATTCTCTTACAGCCTAAAGACATGCAATAAACAGAATCAATGCCAGTTAACACTAAATTAATTTGAGAATTATGCTTCTCAAGTTCCATAGGTCTCAACTTAGATGACACAAAATTAATTTAGATGACACAAAACATGCTTTGGCTTTTTGGGGCCATTTCCACCTCCATGCAGGGTTTGCCCTACAGGCCCTTTTTCTTAAGCCTTCAAGAAACAATATTGGCCGCTAAAACCCTTCCTCTGATTTCGCCTCTGTCGACACCTTCAAAAATATCTGATGATTTTTCACTATCATTAAAGAACTTCGTTCCGGTCACGAAACGCAATGGGAAAAGCAAAATTAGATGTCTCAGTTCATCTTCAGAATCAGTAATTGTGCCAGAAATAAGTACCCAATCCACCTCAGGCTGAAATCCGAGTCAAGACTTTATCGGAAAAAAGAAATTTCGTGGCAAGACTATAGTTGTTAAATATGGAGGAGCTGCAATGAAGTCCGAGGCACTCGAGGCTTTTGTAATTGTTGACATTGTCCTCTGTTCGTGTGAAACCTAGAAGTATATGAGATCATTCACAAGTAATAAAATTGATGATTTGAGAATATCGTCCACAGGAAATAAATTTTAATTCAAGTTTACTACTTATATATGGAATTCAAATTATGTAAAACAAAAGATAGATTTTGATTTTATTTTTACTAAATTAATCTAACAAAGTAGTAAAAGTTTGGTTTTTATCAAATTATGGATGATTGTATTGAATTTCGACTTCGCTTATTGCTATATATTTCAATTCTTGATTCGTAACCTAGTTTCGTTCGTACATTCATGACAATCGATAAAACTAATGTATTTAAATTTTTTTCCAAAAGAAATTAATTCTATCATAACCACGACTCGAATCTATTCCTAGTCAAAATTCAAATAGTTAGAACGCATTAAATTTTAGATTATCTATACGATTGCATATGTACTAAATGTTATTTCTCACATCTATTGTACATATATTAATTTTGCTGCGTTCTAAATTTATTGTGAGTCTTCAACATTATAACAAGCAACTATTTATTTAATTGGTGGCCAATCAATTAAATAATGCAATAGGCATGCAAAATTAATCAAGAAATGCAAGAAATAATAAACTATTAGTCTTGAATTAGAAATAAATAACAAATAGGGAAGAATAATAGAAAAATATCACCCAGATCTTGAAAGAATATAAAAGATGTTGATCTTCAAATCCAAAGTTAAATTCTTGAAAATCTTGATATAATTGAGCTTCAATTCTTTGCTAGGACTTGATCTCCTCTATCAAAATATAGTAATTGACCTCTTCTTTTTAATGAATTTGATGATAATATTATTCATGAAGAGGCAAGAGAGGATTTGTTTTTTATGTGTGGCCCTCGTTTTGTATTTATAAGAGTCGAAAAATAGGTTAAAATTGCATACAATTTGATTTCCAAAAGAGTTTGAATCACGAAAGGAAAATGATGATTCGTGCTCACCGTTGTCTTTGAACACCTTTTGGTATTTTAGTTGCAACTTTTTCTTATGGTGTCCGATTGATGTGATTCAAAGTGAATTGAAAATATAACTCAAAGAACTACAATTCTTCTAGAGTACATTTTTTTTCCAATTTGAACGTATTCTATCTGAAAAATGGGTCTCAAATTGAGGCTAAAAATTCGGAGCATATCTTTTTCGGCTGGAAATTGTTTTGTGCAAATACTTCAACTTTATTTCACTAATTTGACCTCCAATTGCATCCAATTGAACATATGTGATCTTCAATTTTTATTTTATGGTTCGAATCAACTATTGAATGTTTATACTTTGGTCCCCCAAACTTTGAATTTCTTTCTTTTTTTGGCCCTTTTTTGTTTCGTTCTTTCAATTTCACAAATTTGCATTGAGATAAATCATTATCAGAAAGTGGCTAGGGTTATAACCAAATATATACTCTAGGGTTAGGCTTTAAGTTGGACTATTAAAGGGGTAAACGGGCCAAGATTCAAGCCATCCATAAGGGAATACAATTAGGTCGGGTGTAGCTCATGGACTTGGTTGTTGGACTTATTTCATTTATCGACCTATGCCTATGAAATAATATTAACCCACGTTAACATCATAACCCGAAATTTATTGGGTATCAAAAACCCAATAAATCTCCACCTTGATGCCCAATAAATCTACAAGCAGTCAAAATACACATTTAGCACTTGCATAATTAAGGTAGCCGATACCTTACCTCATGTTTTCAACTTGAAACACATATCATACCTGCTTCATGTA